TTTGAAAATAAATTTGCTTTTCATTGAGAAGCTTTGAACTCAGTGCTAGGTTCAAAGCTTCTCAATAAAGAAGGACTCACTTGCCCAAAAACCTGTCTGTTATTTTCCAGCTGTGTCAGCTGGGGTGATAAGAAATATTATCTCTCAAGACTTATATGAAGTACAGTCAGAATGTCATACAGTGGGAAACTCGGAATCTCCATCTATTTAATTCTTCGAAGAGTAGATTACTTGCACTCTTCACACACACAGGGAAGATATTTCTTACAGTAAACAGCTCACTAATCTAGCATGCCAAGATCCAATAGCTGGAAGCTGCAACTAGACAGATTCCGATTAGAAATAAGACATCCTTTTTAGCAGTTAGGAGATATTGCATCAGCTGTCAAAGTACTTAAAATAGGTGGGATGAATCACACTCTGGAGATGCCTCTCTCTCTCTCTCTCCATTGGCTATTGAGAAACCCTTGATAACTAGGTTCGATGTCTAACTTTTAAATGAATACAGTTAGGTGAGATCATTCTGAATTTATTAACCTGAGATAATATTCTGAATACTTCATTATTGTATAACAGTCACACTACATGGTGGTTTAGCTGCAGTACTTTGGAAAATCGCTCTGGAATATTTCAGTGGTTTTAATAACTGTGACAAGTTTTAGCAGAATTGAATGTCCAAAGTATTTAAACGCATCTGTATAATGAAAAGCATTCAGTTAGATATTGGGATTACATTCTTTATGATTTTTAAAATACTCTTCAGCTTACCTCTAGAGCAGGGCAGATCAGATTTGCTAAATCAAATCATCTGAATGCTATTTGCATGACTGATTTCTAAGAGCAGAAAATTGACAGAGAAAAGAGCATCAGTTATGCATTTAGTGCAGATTTGCTAACGAGAATGATGGTCACAGTATTTTCAGAACATGTACCATGGAAAGGTTGTTGATGCCTAGGAAATATATCTTGGCATACTGATTCTTTTCTTTGAATATATCTTTTTCAGGCATGAAGAGGGAGAAATGTCACTGAGGCTAAGCAAATATACATGGACAGCCTTGTGTGCACACCTGAGGACAAGTTCTCACAGGGTCTGGATGACCTCTAGCAAGTAATTTTGAGGGGAACTTAGGTTTGATCCTAAAACAGGGTGCAGATGCATACACCTATAACATGCTCTGTGACTGTAACTTATGTAGCTGAACCAAATCACCAACATTCACAAAAGCACTTTAACCTCAGTCTGATACTTCAACGTCTTTCAAATTAGACAGTCAAGGCAGCTAGAAAACAGAAATTTCATTACCAAGGGTTGCAATTCAGCTCTTTCTCTCCCAAAAGAGATTTCTTAACTATCAAGCTAAAAAGACAGACTCCTCACTATTTACTCACTTAATTGTTGTTGCTTCCTAGGTTGGCTTTATCCAAATTCTGTAGCTTCGTGTTTGGAAAAGTGCATTAGAAAATAGAAGATGTGTATTTGAGATTTTCTAAGTTTAAGGGTACTGGACCTCAGATTGAAATACGTGTAACATTCCTGGGAGAATTAACTATTTTACTGTCTATTAGACAAAGCAAGGATTCCACCGATGCCAGTGTGTAAAGGGAGTGAGATTTACTCGTGTAGTAAAGGAGGACTCCAAGCGAATGGAGATACTCAGGTTGACATTCACCTGATGAGATATAGATATCTACCATACTGATGCCCAAATCTGAGCGAGTTATATTGACATACCTTGAACGTAATTCACTTCTACCTAAGCTGTATATCTAAAATACATCAGATCAATCATACCTTAAATGTGACTCTTTATTTCTCCCAATTTTTGCAAGTAACAGGCTTGGAGCGTAGATATTTAAAACCAATGAGACAAATTTCTACCTTATTATCATACCTAAACTCTAGTAAGGAATGAGAAGTCAGATACGTGCCCTTTTAAGTGATTTTAAGCATCCTTTTCTCCAATCTTGGATTACTCTTTACTGTCTTTAGAGACAGTAAATTTTCTGTATTTATTATATTGGGAATCCATGCCTGCTGGTGAAACCTAGAATGTTATTCATACAGAAATATGAGTAAATATGAAACAGGCACATGCAATTTTGCAAACTACCCAGCTTTTTATATTCCTTACTCTAGGCATCTGGAATCACTTTCTGTGTCTGATTCCCTGATATTGCAAGTTGCAAACCTCAATCAGAGAATCTGAGTCTTCCCTTGTCTTGGTTCTCCACTCATTTTAAAAATATTCCACTCCATAATTAAAAATATTAAAATCACCTCTGCTGGTCTGGTCACTTTGGGCTGGATGCTCTTCTTACAGACACTGCCTCACAGATCATGTAGATAATCCCTCCCTTAAGTGATTATGGTTTCAGTTTTCTGCAATATAAGCGTAGAAAAGATTTTAAAGTTTTGAATTGATTAATAATTTGGTTTGCCTAAACAAGATGCTTGAAGGCAGCCTGCTTTTCAGAGAACAGGACTCCAGCACTTTTAAGACATCTAAAAAAATATAAATACTAAAAGCTATAAGTTTATTTTTAATATTTAAGTGCATGATATTAGAAAAAAACCTTTCTGTATGAACAGTAATGTATGCTAACTAAGTCTCAGAAGCCTCCTGAGATGCTGAAAGTACTTTATCTTTCAGCCATGTAATTTACCACAGAAGTTTGATGATGCATGATTTGGAATTTTTTATTATTGTATGATTTTACAGATAGCCCTTACATTTACATTAAAAGTCTGGTTGTTAAATGCAGAGGTAGACTTTTACAATCTCAGTGGTGAGGACCTGAGATGGATAGGAAGATGCTTCCATATGGTAAGCATTGCAGGTCTACCCAGAAGCCCAGTGACTTTGGTGTCATGGGGACTCTATAGGTTCAGGACGATGCATCCTGATTGAAATGTCATGTCAAGCTGTCCCTTCCTCTTACTTGACAGGAAGGACCACAGCTTCCCTAGGCTGCAAAAGCACTTTGCAGTATCGTGTACATATGTAAAGTAGTTTTAGATATAAGTCACCAGTACCACCACTGTGTGTCACAAGGAAAAGCTGCATTGTTTTTCCAAGAAAGAAAATATTTTATGAAAATGTATTAAACAGAGGCTTTCAATGGCCGAACAAGAGACAAATCACAGGGTACATCAAGATATAATTACATACTTATAGAGAAGTCTACCATGAAAAAGAGAGGTTTTATTGGGTTTTTTTTCTCTGAAAAATGAAAATGACAAGCTCAAATTATGAACTACACTGTGCACAATCGAGTGTGAGGAAATATCAGCTCACGAATCATTAACAGCCTCAGTTTCATGAACAGAGCATTATCAGCTCTGTGAGTCTGAACAAAACAATTGTCAGCTGCCACCCTTTCTCAACTAGACAATTAAAAATTTCATATTGCGCAAAGTGAAAAAGGGAGATCAACCTCAGCACGCCTCTCGCCTAGCAGAAGCAACATGTCCTTCAGCCTGCCAAAGTTCAGCCTCTTCCAGGGATCACACAAGAAGATAAGCATTAATATTCAAGGGAAGGTCTAGTTAGAGATCTGAGCATGGCCATGAGGATGTCTGGGTGCTTTCTGTCCTCTCGAGCAAGGTTATTCTGGACAAATCCTGCCCTTCTGATGATGTAAGAGGGAAAGGAACAGAGCAGAAGCAACATCTGCTTTGGACTCCTGCCAGCTTGGAGAACATGGAAGAAGGGCTGTGAGACAGATGGGACTCATTTTACTGCTGTTTCAAAAAGAATACGTGTGTATTTTGGGAAAAAGTGTATTGGAGTCCTCATTACCTATGCTGATCAGCAGAAAAGATGAGCGTGCCCTCTAGCTGGCAAACCACACTCCTCCGTGGACATGCTGTATGAGCAAATGCATTTACAGTTGCAATCCTATTGTATTTTCTTGAAGAGATTCTCTTTCAGCTTTCCTGCTAGGGGAAAAAGGCTTTCGGTGCCACTTAATCCCCTAAAATATCACAGCGCTGCACCAAACAGGATTTAGCCCTCTACCTTACCACGTTCAAGTTTATCCATCTGTGAAATTAGTATAATAGCATTGTTCTGCCTCGCAGGGATATCGTGCGTCTGCCTGTTTCTAAAGTGATGCTCCAGGCATGTTTTGAAACGCTTTCTGTTTCAAAAGTGCTTTGTAGGCCTTGGACAAAAGAACGTGTTAACTCTGAGTAGCAAGGACGGTAGATTCCTACGCAGAACCGTATTAAAGGAGGATGATTTGGGAAGAGGGCTGGTAGGGAAACTCCGTTTTGATGCTGCACGGGGCCACAGTCCCAGCGGTGCTCTGTCCTCACACGTTGTGCAGCAGCATGATCTTTCACCGAGGAGGTCAGAGGGCTCTGCAGACCTTCCCCTCCTCTCGTGCAAAACCCATTGAAAATGGCTGTGGAATGGGATCGTTACGCTGAAGGAGGGAGGACAACTTTTTGGGCACCTGTCACTGGAGGGGACCATTTTAAAAAGCAATCACCCTTCAAGAAACCCCCCCAAAAATCAAGCCAAAGAACATTTTTTCCAAGCTGAAAAATAGATTGGAACCTACCTGTCACTTAGTGAATTGATTCTCGGTATGAGTCAGCCTCATTTCCTGATAAGTGTTTTATATTACTAACGTTCAATTACACTGGCTGTTATTTAGGGTAGAATGAATGTTTATGCCTATGAAAGCTTACTGCAGTGAGCCCTTTGTTCTGAAGCTCCTGGAATATGAATAATGATACTAATAACACTAACATATTTAAAATCACAAGATGCATTTGTTCATTTGTTTTCCTTAGATCTCCGGTCTGCTCGCTGTTTCTCAAGAATTTCTCACTTTATGTCTTTTACCTAATGGAGCCCTATCCTTAGGGCAGGGCTGCTCTGCCGGCTGTTTTCATAATAACTAAGTTGCCTGACTGAGTTAGGACTGAGCAAGGAAGAGAGGGAGAGAAAAAACCAGCTGAAGTGGCCAGCTGAAAAAGACAGGAGAAAGCAGCAGAGGAAGATGTTTTTGTAACCAAGCTCTCCCTTGGGGCTACTCACGTAAAAGTGTTTCCTTCAGTTCTGCAAAACGGCGTCTATCTTTTTTGGACTGACGTTTCTGCTGATTTCAAGGTATTTATAGCATGCAGGCACTCTTTTTGATTCATTCTGTATTACTTATTGACACAGTAATGCTGATTTCCTTGGCATTGCCTGTAAAAGCAATCCTTAGGCTTCTTTTTCTGCATTGGGGAGCCCGTTATCAATAACCTCAGCCTCCGAGCAGTCAAGAGGAGCCCCCTTCTAGACAAGGTCTAGAAGATTTTCTAGCTCTAACCACAGAACTAATTTCCATTTATCCTCCTTCTATTTTTAAGTGTTAAGTTTTAAAATGTCAGTCTTTTTTTCTAGATGACAAGGAACAGAAGCTAATCTTTTACTAAATAAAAATCAATCCTTATGTAACAGGACTCCTGTATTATTAGAATAATAAAGCACCTATTGAGTTTCATGAATATCAGTAGCCCCATATCCCTAAATTCATGCCCACTCACAGTTTAGGGTAATACTTTTAAGGAACCTAAAGTCTCTAATAGAATGAGTTCTATTTCAGACAACAATTAACAGATCATTTCTGGTTAGGAAAAAATTAGGGACCCACGCATTTGCTAAGGAGGCAGGACCTGAGGGGGCTTTTGGAAATTTCACTTGACAGGTGCATCCAGTTGTAAATATCTAACCACCTTTGAAAAATCTGACCCCATGTCATTTTTAAATGGCACTTTTATGGTTTTCACAACTTATGCTTGGCACCATATATTTTCAGCTTGATCATAACTTTATTCTACTTGGCTCCAAAGATTGCAGGCTAGCCCTCAACTTGGGTAGCAAAATCAATCAATTAGTGACCACTGAGTACCTAGCCTTAAATAGGTTGAAACAAATTTTGAGTGGCTTGTGCCCAGTTTCTAAGCCAGTTTTCCTCTTCATTGTACTATTTTGATATCAAGCTAAGCAAAGAAATGCTAGAGTCTCCAAATTGTCTTTTCACTTTGAGTGTTCAGTCCCCCCTTTTTTTTTTTTTTGGGTTGGCTTATTTGTTTAAAGATTTAAATGCAATTCGCAGCAAATAGTGCATATGCACATACCTAAGATAAGATACAGCTACTGACAGAAGTAGCACAGGTAGTCATAGCAATTTTACCTATTCAAATGTCTGTTAATTGGTCTTTCAAGGAAAGGCCATGAGAATTTCTAGCTCTTCCCTTAAGGCTTTATTGACATCACATCTATCTTGAGTGAATTTTTCCATACACTATTTTATCCTCAAAAAAAATCTCAGGATAACCACTTTAGACTGTAGAGTAATTATTCAAAATATTGCTTTTATTTTACTTGGATTAGTGGTAAAGTCATATTTGCTGATTTGAAGTGCATTTAAAAGAAGATCTTTGAAACCAATTGTTTTTTGCCTGTAGGATCTGCATTAGTTAAATTTCATTTGCTCTCTGGGAAACCTGACAAATTCTCTCATTATATTTTTAACATCCCTTCACTCAAATTAAAATATAGTCCATTATATCTTCAGTACAGTAGAAATCCTCTAAGACTTGCACAAGTTTTAATTGAACCATTTTAGTAATATATCTAATGCCAGAAGAAATTTGTTTAAAGCAACAGACACTTTCTCAGCAGCAAAAATAACTGCTGAAAATATAAATTCTTGACTGTCCAATAGGGTCACTTTAAAAAGAGCTGCCTTCTGGGAGGTGGTTACTTCTGGATTTCTGAAAATTGTCTCCAAGGTATCTCAAGCTTAGGTCACAAATCTGGAAGCATCTGAACTGATTAGCAAGCGATGACTATTAAAACTGCAACGTTTAAGTGACGTGTTTGAGCTCACATCCTAAATACACTGCAACAAAATCTGAAGCACCTAAAGAACGTACCGCATTTTCCTCTATGGTTCACTTCTTCCCACTTTCAGATGTTGATGGGTGCCTGTCATAGCTAGTCAGAAGAATTTGAGACGATCAAAAAAAGGGATGCTATCCTCCCATAATTTCCTCCTCAATTGCACAAAGCTGAAATAAACCCACCTTTTTTATGTCGTTTGAATGTTTTCTGAAATGCTTTAATTAATATATTTATCAGCCATACTATAAGAATCAATATGAAATGATAAATATTTCATCTACCCAAACCAGGCTTTCTGAAAACACTTTTTCCTTTAATTGATTCCTTAATGTTTTAGGAATATTTGTCAGGTTTGTAGCAAATGCTCATTTCAGATGAAATAATTGAAGAAAAAAATCATTTTTAGGCAACTGGCATATTTCCTGTGGGAAGGAAACAAGCACTCCAAGGAGTATTTTAGTTTCAAAGAATGCAATCGTCATTTCTTTAATACCATACATGAGATAATATTCATATATTCTGTCTTCATTTAAAAAAAATGCAGAGCAAAACAAAAATATCAAACATGCCCAGTACTACTGGACCTAACATAAGAAGAGAAATAACTTTTTGCCTTTTAGAGTCTTTCTCTGCAACCTCAAAAATACCGAGGATAAATAAAAATTTCTTTAAATGGAGGATCCCTTCTGGCAAATGTCGTATAAGGAAAAAACGGCCAAGTTTCCCAAGAGCTTTTATGAGCACAGCTGAGGAGCACCCAGCAGAGCAAACACGTGCATAGGAAAACCTGCTTTAAAATTCACCTATGCTTAATGCACGCGTTGTTATAGCCTTTTTGTAATCAGTGCTATCCACGTATCTTCAGCTTCCTCATGTCCTTCAAGGAACTCCTCAACTTTTTGACTTTAGTTTTTTTATTTATGACTTTTGTTCTACCCTTTTTTCCTACTCTCCTGTTCTCCCTGCTAACTAACCTCCAGGTATTTATACTTACTGCACTGTGAAATGAGGCAGTCCTGTTTCCAAGAACTGGGACACAGTGCGCTGGAACCACTATAAACAGTTCCTGAGCTGCAAAATGCTGAGCATTTACACACTTGCCTTCCAGGATGAACTCCATAGGGTGTGCTCTACATGATATGTTGAGAGAGGCATGCATCTGCAAACAGCACTCGCTAGGATGACCTACCTAAGCAAGGCAGGAGAAAAATCTGAAGAGAGGGTAGTAACTTAAAGCCTTCAGCCTTGCTGCTTTCTAGATCTTCAGCAGCTGACTCTGGCCTGCAGGAAAGAATCCATTTGGAATTTCCATTTCACAGGTGAGATCCATCTCACCTAACTTTAGACACATGAGAGTGATTTATCAAAATGTGTTAGTCACTCAGGGTCCCTAATCACAAATAAAGAAAAAAAAGGCAATTCCAAAGGCAATTTAGACAAGTGCTTGGAATAGCTGGAATGAATCACACTCTGGAAGTGCCTGTTTCTCCCCGTTCACAAGAGGAGGAGGCTGAATGACTGCTTTCAAGAGTCTCCATGCGAGCTAGTCACCCTTAACTCCCATAATAGACAATGGAGAAAAATAGACACTTTTCAAATGCAATTTATCTAAGCAAAAGTACACAGATGATTCATACCCTATGTGGGCCTATTTTTTGCCTTTGACTAAAAAGGAGCCTGGGGAGACGAGCTCAGACAAAGGTTCCTCAGCTGTAGGCATTTCATTCGTTTAATGAATCCCACGAGGATTCTTCCAAGAATCGGGCCCCCAGTTATTTTCTACATGATCACACAGGAAGCTTGTTCTTCAGCTAAATACGATATCCAGGTTTCCTGCATCCTAGAATAGTGTCTTGACACATTAAACATCCTTCTGTCTTCACTTTGCCTTGCTTTTCCTCAAGTCCTGCTGCTGCCAGCCAGCAGCGCTCTCTCGTTTCCACCCGTGTGAATCGTGCATGGTGAGCAGTTATACCGATTTCCTCCTCTACCCAACCATATTTCACATCCTGTCCCTAGTCTCCCTCACCCCCATTGCTCAACCCCTCTGTATCTTACTGTTTTAAAATAACCCAGGTCCTCTGGTCTATCTCATTTCCAGCTTTTGCTCTGTTTCCAGCAATTCTTCCTCCATATTTTTCTCCTACTACCCTCTTGCATCAATCATCATTAAGTCTCTGTGCTTCAGATTCCACGATCTGAAAATATAACGTGGATACAAGGAGATAGGGATTAACCTTATTTCCATACAGCATGCATCTCACAAATCTTCCAAAAAAGAGCTTGTCTCTATCTCTGACTGTGCAACACCCACACCATGGTTTCATTTAGGATAGGGATAGGATAGTAGAACTACTGAAATGTATCTCAAAGTTTATGATACAAGTAAAGTCAAATAAATGTGTAACACCTACATTTGCTGAAAACTGGCGTACCTCCTCCAAAGAGGAAAGATCATAGTTGGTTTAGCCAGATGAAAATTCAAGCATAAGCATCTCAGATAGAAATACAAATGTCCTGAAACAGTCAAACTGTGACAGACATTTATTTCCTCTATTACGTACAGAATAATTTGTAGTTCTATATTTTCACTCATAGGTGGCGATAGAAAATTGATACATTATTTACCATGCTTTAGCTTAAAGATGCTCCACAGAGACTGGAGAAAGCATAATGAACCTTTCCAGACATTTAAAGTGATGGATTTTTCTTGTTTTGTGCACCAGGGCATTTGTAGAAGGTCATTTTAGATTGTGTCCGCACATCAAACATATCTGTGTGTACATCTCCTGGCAAATATGTAGAAAGAACATAGCCTTTAATCTATCTTTTCTCTTTCTTTCTCTTCTTCTCTCTTTTTTTCTTTCTGTATATCTGTCTGTCTCTGTCTTCCTTCCTTCCTATCTTTCCTTCATTCTTTTTTCTTTCCTTCTTTCCTTCTCTCTTTCTCTTCCTTCCTTCTCTCTCTCTTACTTTCTCTCACTTTCTTTCTCACTTTTTTGATTTGGTTTCCTCTCTCTATCTCTTTTTCTTTTCATTTCTTTCTTTTTTTCTTTTGTTCTCTTTCTCTCCTTCTCCGCCTGCCTGCCTCCCTCCTTCCTTCCATTCCTCCTTTTCTTTCTTCCTTCCATCCCTCCTTCCCCCTTGTAAAAAAGTCAGGAGTGCTAATTTAACAGTTTTATCCCTCTTGACTTTTTAGGAAATGGAACTAACCG